TACGGCCTTAAGCAAGCCCCTCGCGAATGGCACAACAAGGTGAAAGAAGTCCTCCTCTCCCTGGACTTCCACCCTTCAACTGCTGACCCGACTCTCTTCATCCGCCGTCATTCTTGCACCAAGTCTCACGTCCTCACACTCGGTGGGCTCTCCCCTCCTCGCCTGGAAGGATACACCGACTCCTCCTGGGCTGATGACCAGACCGACCGACGCTCCTCTCAGGGGTACTGCTTCACCCTTGGGAGCGGAATTGTCAGTTGGCGCTCCACCAGGTCGTCTGCAGTCTCCCTCTCCTCATGTGAGGCAGAGCTCTACGCAGGCACCATGGCTGCTCAGGAGGCTCGTTGGCTCACCTTCCTCCTCCAGGAGCTTGGTTTCCCACAGTCCACCCCCACCCTCTGGTGTGACAACCAGAGTACCATCCACATCTCTCAAGACCCTGTGTATCACACCCGCACCAAGCACATTGAACTCCGGCACTTCTTCATCCGTGACCTTGTCCAACAAGAGCAGTTGAAAGTGGAATACGTTGCATCTGACTGCAACCTGGCTGATCTGTTCACCAAGTCTCTTGGGAAAGTTCCCCACCACCGTCTCCTTGGCGCCATGGGGCTCTGTGCTCCACCTTCTCTACCCTGAGTTCGATTGACGCCTATGGGGGGGTGTTAGTGTTAGTCTTCAATCTCACAATTTGTACTTTGTATTTTCTATATCCTAGAGTAGTGTAGTTTGCACATTGTGTTTGGTTGGGTGTACACCTACATCCCAACCAAACCCAAATGTAATCTCCAACCAATCTCCAACCCACCAATTGGAGATTGCCTTGGGATTACCCCCAATCCCTAGAGATTGCCCCCGATTCCCTTCCCCATCCTTTTCCTACCCCTCTTGGATGTACTTAAAGAGCTTCAAGCTCATTACTAATGTATCAGTTCAAAGCCTATTTATGACATCTGCACCATGTGGGATGGGAGTGGCTTATTGCCGCCACCACGCCTGCCAGGCAGCACGCCTGCCAGGCAGCACGCCTGCCAGGCAGCAGGGCACGGCATGCACGCGGCACATCAGCCACCGCTGCTGCACACCCTCTTCCTTGCATCATCCGCACTCCGCTCACAACAACTGTTTCTCTCACCTCTCCCACCTTCTCTCCCCTCCCCCTCTCCTCGCTCCTTTCCCCCGCCCCTCCCCTCCCCCTTTCTTTTCCAGTCCGTTCTGAGCTGTGGCACCAACGCCTTCCGGTTTTCCTCTAAGCAAGGAGGGCGAGGGGGAGAGGGAGAGCGAGGGCGAGGGAGAAAGCTTGTCATCTTAGTTAAGAGGTGTGCTTTCAGGTAGCGTCGTTGCACTGCAACGGCTCATGTCATGAGGCATATGATTTCTGTTGTTGGCGTATGTGGAGGGGGATGTGTGGGCGTGGGTGAAAGAGGGTTAAACCCCTCTCCTCAATCTGTGCGCATCCGTATCCCACTTACCCCATTTTCACCCTCCTTTCTTCCCCCTCCTCTCTTCTCAGCACCATCACGCATAGCAACAACATCTTTTTATATCCTTCCTCACTTTCCTCTCCTCCTCCTCGTTCCCCTCCCACTTTCCCCATCTTCCTCTCCCCCCCCCCCTCGCATAGAGCAGGGCACAGCACAGCACAAGAGGAGGCAGCGGAGGAGAGGGCTCCCCCCGCTGCGGCCAAGCTGGGTGGCGCTCCCATTCTCCATCAGGGAGTGCGCTCTCCTTGGAGGGTGTGCTGGGCATGGGGCGTGTTGGGTACTCCCCTCTCCTTGGCACTCCCCTCTGCCCGCTCCACTCCCACCCCCATACACTGCACTACCTCTGCTCTTCCTCCTCTCTTCCCAGAGCCCCTTGTGCTCTATACCTCCAAGTCCACGGCACCCCGTCAGCAGGTGGGAGGGCCTACCACATGCGGGCAACAGGGACAGGTGCGCGTGACTCCCTCCCTGCTCCTACAACCCTCCACTCTCCCCCTTATTGCTCCCTCTTTCCCCTCCTCTCCTACCCCGTATCCCCTTCTTGCCACTCAGTCTGACGGCTTGTGTGCCAGGTGCGGGCAGCAGGGGAAAGAGCAGGGCGATTCTCTCGGCTGGGTGTGCTGGGGGGTGCAGCGCGAGAGTCTCAAGGGCAACGGGCTGGAGGAGGGCGCTGCCTTCACCGCGGGCCTCGGAGGGATGTAGCGCGGCTATGATCAGAAAGACGCGTCCTGCGTCCTGGACGCATGCGTCCAGACGCAGGACACTGAACCTGGACCTGTAAGACGCACCAAAAGACGCAAGCCCGGGCAGGGCAAAAAAAAAACCCCCGGGCAGGCAAAAAAAAAGTAGTACAGGGCTTGGGAGAGGGGGGGATGGGGACCTACCACACCTTTAATGCAACATTTTCCCCAACCACAAATTTGTCCCCCAAAATGTAAGATTAAGGTGAGTCACGCGTCACACATATAGGGTGGTCACACACATTAACTTCAATCCAACCAATTACGACCATGCATACTAAACTACCACTACCCTGCATCAACTCTACCATCGCACATCCCCATCATCCTCCTCGCTCTCCTTCTCCTCCTCAGGGAAGCCATAGCGGAGTTTAGGTAGTAAGCTAAGCTAAAATCTAAAACCTCTATGGGTTTACGAAAGAGAATTGGTTGGGAGGGGAAAATGAGAAGCCACAAAAGGTTGCCATGCTAAATGTGCTGGTGGGCCACAAAGGTTGGGATTCGTAGATGCTAAGTGGTGAGAGGTTTGAGTGAAATTCCATTTTGGTTGAGTTGTTAGGGAATGTTAGGGGTGCTGGTTTTGAATGGCGAATTGGGCTTGGGGTGGGGAAATTTCGCGATTTCGACATTCGCGTCGAAATCGCGAATGCCAAAATCGCGATCGAATTTTTGGGCTGCCCGAAAAAATTTTCGACGTGCGTCTTGCGTCGCTGCGTCCGGACGCAGCGTCCTAGCTGCGTCTTTCTGATCATAGTAGCGCGGTGATGTGCGGTACTGGGGTGTCGGGTTAAGCAAGTAGAGACAGTATGCGGCAGTAGGTGGGGGATGGTTGAGACCTCAAGGTGGGTGTGACTACGAGGGGGGTGGTTTCAGTCAGTGTGAGGCAGGCACAGGGGATGTTCTGTGAGTGCCAGTACTGCCATAACTGAGGGTTGCTCTGGGGTATATTGTGAGTTATTTGTGCTCATGTGCAGAGTTGTGTGCTGTGTTGGGGCGCTGCAATTAGGAAAGGGCTTTTCTGCTTGCTGTGATCTGGTTTTTAAGCAATGTAAAGCGGGAAATCTTTGGTTGCATGATTGCGCTGACATGTTCCTGTGGCCCCAAGGGATGCTGCATGTGAGCAGGAGAAGGTGAGGAGAGAAAGGTCAGGAGAGAAAAAGGTGAGGAGAGAAAGGTGAGGAGAGAAAAGGGTGAGGAGAGGAAGGTTAGGAGAGAAAACAGTGAGGAGAGAAATGCGAGGAGGAGAGTAAAAGGTGAGGAGAGGAAGGTGAGGAGAGAAGAAGGTGAGGAGAAAAAGGTGAGGAGAGAAAGATGAGGAGAGAAAAAGGTGAGGTATCTTCGCAATTGCAGCTGTCTGAGAATTGTGCCTGAAGGTTGCGAGGAACTTTACTGTAGTGAGCGTGGCTATAGCGAGTGTGTGATAATTCGATATGTGGCACTTCAGAGCGTGTGGGTGCAGTTGGTGTGGCAGAAGGGAATGTTATATGCAGGGGAGATTCAGGGGCGGACGAGGAGGGGAGCGGAGAAGGGGTGGAGGGGGAGAGCAGAGAGGGAAAGAGTGGAGTGAGAGAAGGCGCGGGGATGACAGCAGCAACGTCGAGCATGTATGGCGAAGAGGCAGAAGAAACATCATCGCCGGATGGGGTTGAAGCTAGTGGGGATGAAGATGCCGTGCAGGGGGGTGGGACAGAGGGAGTCAGTGGGCTAAAGCAGATGCCAGAGCTGCAATGGATTCTGCAAATCCACTCCTTCGCCCTCACAGTGTCTCCCTCCAATCAGCCGAGGACAGTTGGCACGAGAGCACTGGTGCAGGCCTGTCAGGAGAAACAGGAGATTCTGGTGGCAGTGGAAGCAGCATCAGTGGTAGAGGCGGTGGTGGTAACCGCGTGTTACGGCTGCGGCCAACATGCTGGCGGACATGCAGGTGCGGGCGGCGAAGCTGCAAGTGGCACGGAGCATAGGGGGAGACAGCATGGCGACGTTGCGACCGTGCAACCAGGCGCTTCAGGCAACAAATTAGGCGCCATGATAAGGAGAGATTTGTTTAGTTGTTCTGAAGCTGAAGCGCTGCAAACAGTCAAAGTTGGTGGTGTACCCCGCTTGCTCTGACATGCTTAACTTGCTCTAAGAAATGTGATACCTGTAGCATCGCATGCACAAACCTTAGCTGGTGCAGCTCGATGCACGCTGACTGAAACTTATGAAAGATTGCTCAAATGCCTTAGGTATAGTGATGTTCTCTGGTAATTATACTGTGTTGATATGGTTGAAGTGGTTCCACTATACTATGCTGGCAGGGGGGCTTATTCATTGGTGCTGCCTTTGAGAATTTTGTTTGTGCCATGTCTCCGTTCAGGCAAACAAGATTGATATCTAAATACTAAATATAAATAGTATGCATACATGGATAACAACTTTCAGAACTCAGCTAACTAAGCAGCACACTACGGTACCAACAGCATCATGCCAAGTCAAGCCTCGGTCATCACATGGCCCAGCCTCTGACCCATTGGAGAGCACGTGAGCAGCTTCAGTCCTCCAAGTCCCTCCCACAATCCAGCCTCCATGCTCCAACCCACCATCCAGTTGCTACAACACCCTGACCAGCAGGGTGCAAAAAGTGTTGCCGCCTTCCTCCCCACTGTCCACCACCCCGTCCCTTCCCCAGCTGTACCTTGGCTGCTCTCTGCTCGCTCCAATCAGCACCACCCTCCCACTCTCCACCACACACTGCACCTCTCACGGCCTCCAAGGAGGCCTTGTTGTTGCAGTTGCCTTATTTGCCCTGATAGGCCGCCTTCCCCTGCACACGACACTGCCATTCCTCCTCTCCTGCTGCTGCCTTGTGCTGCTGCTTGCTGTGACTACAGGACGGGTTACCACAGCATTGGCCGTCCCCAGAGTTTCCACCGCAGCAGCTGCAGTCTTGGCTGACCGTGGCTTGGGAATGAGGGACGGCGGCAGGCATGCACTAGCTGCTGCCAGCCTCGTCCCACGCTTCACAGCGCCACCTGCACTGCCCTTGCTTGGCTTGGGAATGCGGGAAGGCAGCTCCCTCAGCCTGTCTGTTGTGATTCTCGAGCCTGATCCTTCGGTTGCAACCGAAAGAGCTGAGCTTGCAGTGGGGCCCACTGCACCACCCACCGCTGCAGTCCCTGCTGTAGACACCACTGCTGCAGTTTCGGCCGATTTCTGGTTTCTGCCGTTTCTGAAGGTGTTGAAAACGCCACTCATCACCTCCTTGGTGACTTGCGCCCACGCAATGGTGAATCTGAAACTGCTGCTGTGATTGTCACCGCTGCAAATTCCGATTTTAGAGATGCTCGCCTTCTTGGACACGCCACCGTCGCTGCAGCTGCTGCTGGACTCCTCTGCCGCCTCAAGAGGAGCCTTTGCAGTCTCCGTCAGGCCCTCAGCACCGCCACAATTATCTTGTGCGGTTTCAGGAGCGTACGTTACAGGTTCACAAGGCGTCTCGTCCGAGATCTCCTCAGCACCAGCAGAATGATCCTGTGAGGCTTCAGAGTAGCACCCTGCAGCCTCATAAGACGTCTCTGCCGTCACAGAGGAGACTTCCAGAGCCTCGGAAGACTCCACAGCAGCAAGAGAGGACTCCCATGCAGCCTCGCTCCAGAAACGCTCCTCCTCTTTTGCTGCAGCCAGATACGGAGATGCGGAGGCTGGAACAAGAAGCGGCGACTGCATGAGTGCTTCCCTGTTCCTAAAGAAGGCTAGGGCTTCATAAAAAGTTGGATAGTCGAAAGTATAAACAGCCATAGCTGATTCGAAATCGGAGCTTAACGATAGAGAATAGTAGTAATATTGACGAGGTTGCTGGAAAACTGGAACGAATACTATGAAAATGACTAGCTGGTGGTATCGAGAATTTGAAGACAAGGGAGAGGGAGAGCAGAGAGGGAGGGTTGTGGGGAGGAGCACCCGAGGGGACGAACTGGGAGGAACGAGAGCCTCCTGGAAGTGCTGCCGAACCGGGAGGTTCCGGGAATTCATGAGCTCTGTGGTAACATGCTGCCCGGGTCAAAATATTCAACTAGGGCACTCTTTGGAACGAATTGGCTGGCTTGCCCGACTCTCATGGGGTTCGGGCAAGAGCGGCGTGAAACGTTTGAACACCGCTGCCCTATTTGAGGTCGGAATCCCAGCCTCGGAAGAGTACCGAACCTTCTTGCGAGAGATCCGGCGGCTCGAGGCGAGGTGAACGCATTGCACGCTCCCGAGGTTCATTTTCTCGGGTAAAAGAAAATCAGGGCAGAAACCTCCTAGGTTTGGCAACGCCTGGCGGACAAGCCAGTGCGGGAAACATACGCGGCATGTCAGTGCCCGAGGAGTTGTCTGGGGTCGTGGTACGGCAGCGGCAAAATGAGCAGCCACGCAATCGTTCCGTGAATTCAGCGGTGGTGCCTAGGAGATTATCGAGAGGACATAGCTAAATTTGATGGTAATTACCTCCGCGGTAACACTCATTGAGCTCGATCGCACGCAAAGTAAGCCACGTGTCCAGATCGTAACAGAGATGTCGTCTCATCGCCACCATGGTAACCATCATGCCTAGATGGTCACCGTTTTTGGGTTGCGAAGCAACCCTTTTACGATTGATTTTGCCAAATTTTATTTTCATATTTATATTTTTTATAAAATCATGAAAATAAAATTTGTCAACTACAATAATACCCTTCCCATACTGTATGCATGTTGAGCAGTTTTGAATACGGTAGTATTGTTCATAGTGCATTAAACCAAATGATATTTTCCCAATTTTTTAGTGTAGATTTGCTGTACTGTTTGCATTATATGTTACTGTTAGATGATGTTGTGTAATGATAAAGAGATGCATGCGTAATGCATAAATGATGATATGCAATGCATAATGCATGGAATGATGCTATATAATGCATGTGATATGTCATGAATGATGCACATGCACATGATAAAATGCGTGACAGTTAACAACCCAAAAACTAAGCTACCGCCATCCCCTGCCTAGCATGGGGGGGAGGTCAATAGCTTAGCTTTTGAATAATCAACTATCACATGAAACAACACAATCTGTGAAGTCTAAAAACGAGATCAACCTACCAAATCCAGTTCAAGTGAGCGTACCCGTTCGAGTGTAACTCAATGAACCTTTGGGAAATGATAGAACTGATTCTCATTTCTAAAAACCACAGACATGCATTGTTAATGAAATAACAGATGGATAATGATATGGTAGATGAATGCCACACATACGGACACATACGCACGCACAGAAGCTCGGAACAAGCCAATGCAAAAAGAACTTAGTAAGGAAAAAAAAACACACACAGAAAATGCAAAAGATCGCTACCAAGCAATACAACACAATTAGACCTAATCGTCACAAATGTGATCGTTCCTCCTTTAAAAAAGACTTTCAATTCCCGAATGGTACAGCAAAGCCTATGAAAAGTAGGAAATAGGGAAACGAAAGGGGGGAAATGGGGAATAGAAGTTGAGGGGATATAGATGGCGACTTTGAAAAAAAAAACAAAAAAAAAAAAAAAACAAGCTGGCTTTCTGAACACAAATAGCAGGGAATTGGAGTAAACGGAAAAGAAGAAAGAGAAAAAAGGTAAGAAAAAAATTCCAAAGAGCTACACGTAGGTAAGAATGGAAAAGTACAGAACAAAGGAAAGAAGAATGATCATCGAAAGAAGGGGAGAGGAATCAAAATGCAGAGAGGGAGAATATACCTCATATTCAAAATGCTAAAAGTTTTTCTCCACTAAAATGAAAGGGAACGAGCGAAAGGCTTATGAACCTTGAAAACATGAAAAGGCTAAAATCTTTACAACATAAAAACGAGAAGGCAATGTATAAAGAATGAATTACCAAATCGATATTACAATCTAGAGGTTGAAGGAAGAAAGATAGGACCGGAATTAGAAGCAGCTAATTATCTAGAGAATGTAACGAAAGTAAGGAGAATATAAAATAAAAAACACCTGAGTTGTTGGTAAAAGAATTAGATAATGAAGTTTTCATAAGTACGAACTCACCCACCTACGACTGGATCGCGCATAGTTGAATGAGAACAACGAATGAATGGGTAGAAAAGCTGAATAGAAATCAAGAAAATGGATAACACAAGTGTGGAATGGTAACAACAAGGCGCACAAGAAAGGAATGACGTGCTCCTCGGTCGAAATAATGGCTGCTACGGCAAGGAATGGTGGATGTTTAAATTGACATAGCAAGAACATAAGAAGTAAGGAAGTAAGAACGTCAAATAAAAATGCAAATACGAGGTAAGGAGGTTGCAACGGAGGAAAGGGGTCAATGAAGAAACAGATGTACGGATGCAGGCTTATGAAAGAACTAAGGCTGACGACTTTACAACAAGCCTAGAACCTAAGCTTTAGTCAACTTGCATCCTTCAAAACCGGAGAACACTAGAGTAAACGATCATGAGAAGTGTTTGAGACATGTTAGTCTAGCTCGTATTCTTCTAAGTTAAATCTACCTGAGAGATTAGGGCTCCTCTTACCTAGGGATCACAAATTCTAATGTGGTGAAACTTTATAGGGAAAGTTCTGCATCGGCGTTGGCGCAGTCGGTTGAAGTTGAACGTGTGGAAGTGAAGACTCGGGATCGAATCCTGCGAATGCAAGTTTTGGTAACTCTGCCAACAAAGAGAAAGTACCCAATCTAGTGTCATACTACAGTATTATGTATAGTTTCTGAAGGTGTACACAATTGTGTACTTACGTAAAACGCTTCGCAACCCTACGACGACTTCGTCGCCTCTTGTTGTTGTTGTTGTTGTTTTTTTTTTTTTTTTTTTTGGACTGTTAATTCTGTATGGTAGTTTGTATAGGAGTAATTTCAAAATATTACAATGTAGCATAATAACGCAAGGAAAAGGAGTGGAAACGGGAAGAGAGGAGAAAAGGAGGAATAACGTGAGTAGAAAAAAGGAGAGAGGAAGAAAGAAGGAGGGGAATAGGGGAAAAATGATAGGAGGAAGAAAAACAGGGAAGAAGGAAGAAAAAGCAGCACACACAACCCCAAGAAAACCCCAATAGCACACACATTTAAAACACCATCAAGCCCTCCCATCAAAGCACCCCAACTGCACTCCCATCGAACCAAACCTCCCCCCCTAAACCCACTCCCTAAACCCGCATGTCTACCAAGTATGGTGCATCCGCCCACGGAGCATCCCATCCCATCTCCTCCTCAACATCCTCCCGCTCCACCCAAACAGCCTCTGGGCCTCTCATCATCGACGCCGCGCGTAACAAGATCACACGCGCCTGAGCCCGTTGCAAAGCCACACCCACAGCCGCTTTGAGCGATCCGAGCAAATAAGCCGAGAAACCCTTTCCCGTAGCTCGCGCCGCCCCTTTCGTCTTTGCTATCTCGATCTGCGCGTCACCCTGCTTCTTAAGCCACCGTCCAAAACTCCCCCCCAAGCATCCCCATGTCTCAGCAATGAGTGGTGTGAACTGCACTCCCCCATGCCGCTGTAGAAGCGATTTGTAGTCCGCCGTCTTCCGCTTTTCTCTCTCTCTCGCGGCAAAACCCACCTTGCGACCAATCTGTCCATGGTGCTGCGCGGATAGCGAGATAGGATCTACCACACTAACCTCCAGCGCGTGCTCCTCCCCCTCCCTCAGTTTCCGAACCGCCACATCAACCCTCTTCCCTGGGAGCAACGTGTCGTCTTCCATGGTCACAATCCCACCCGCACCCTTAGCTATCTTCGCCACCACAAATTTAACCGCATCGTGAACCCGAGAAGGTGCATACTGATACTTGCAGCGAAGGGCATGATGCGGGTCAGAGGGATCAGCAAACTCAAACCCACACGCGCACTTGCCGGCCACTATCAGCTGCTGAATAGGGAGGCCTAGGCGCATGGACGCGCAGATGCTCCACTCGGCTGCGGTGAAGGTAGCCTCCTCGTGCGAAGGAACGGCAGAAACCCACGCCCCAGCCCCCGGGCCCTGAAGGGATGTCAAACGGGCCAGGGTGGCATCGTTGTGGGCCATGCCTCGAAGAGATTGGAGGCTCTCAACCGCCAGGCGACGGTGTTGTGTGGGGAAGAGCAGCATAGGCGGATCAGCGGTGCACAAGGCAAGGGGTGGCATCTCCTGCCGAACCGACTGTGGAAGCAGATCCACTGCTCTCGCAAACCAGGGGTCCAACAAGGTCGTAGCCTCGGGCGTGCGGAAAAACTCCTCAAACATCCGCTCCTCACCTGCCACCCCCAACCGAGCCACATCGCTCACTGCTTGGCACCAGCCACATGCATACGACAGAGGACTAAGGTCAGCCGCAGATCGAATGCCGAACCCCCCGAGTCTGGCAGGAAGGTGCAGCTGTAAACGAGCCATCTGGGACTTCCCCGAATCGTGATCCCAGGTACTATCTGGAAACAGCTCCTCGAAACAATCTTCCAGCTTCGTGTCCCAGTCCCGAAAAGCCTCCACAACCTCAGGTCGTGGAGGCATCGTCCGTGTGAGGTAGATCGGGCGCGCCGACACTGCGATCGCCAACAAATGGGACGCAATCTGTGGGTGGTCAAGCAGAGGAAGCCAGGGGACAGGTGCATGCAGCTCCGTCAGCCGGCGACGCAGGCTAGCCACCTCCCAGTCCTCCTCCCCAATGGGCACCCCTACCACAGTGAGCCCCGTCCATGTCTGCTGCATGCCGGGCGGGACAGTCTCATTTCTCTCCTCCCCATCCTGGTCCCTCCCTCGCTCCCATAGCTTACACTTATGCGGCTGCACCTC